ATAGATTTTTCAGTCTTATGAAAATACTATCAAAGAGAATTAAACCTACGCATTCGGCTTGCATAAAATTGCTCGGCACATTTAGCTTGCTTGATTCGCTTTCTTCAAAAAGCAAACGATTCTCCGGAAATGGGCTGCTACACTGGTATTTTGCTAGTCTTTTTAGCAGTTTGCGGAAAATTCAGGTACATGTTCAACAGCAAGGCAAATAGTATCCAGATCTTGTAATAGAACATCACAAAAGCTTGTGCTGCAGCATCACAACCAGCGGTGGCGCAGCCTGCAGAATCAGAAAACGGTTCACAAAAATTCAAAAAAAAAAAAGTTCACCAAGCCTATTTACCATATAAGTCTTATTTATAACAACCACTTAACCTTTTGGTGCTTCACACAGGACTAGTCACCCAAACAACACGGTTCGCTGTCAGGGACTGGGTAAAACGAAGATGAAACACACCGCCTATTTACACACCCATCACTTATTCATCGCTGACAGTCATATGTTTCACTATTCATCACTCAACCAGAACAGGCACCAACTTATTCATCGCTGACAGTCATATGTCTTACTATTCATCACTCAACCAGAACAGGCACCATACTATAGAACCCTAAGGTTGGTAAGGAAGGCCGCGCAAAAATCCAGGAAGAGGAGCTGAGGTCCAGTAACTCTCTGCATATCTAGCAGGTACTTGTCATCCTTGGTCTTGTAAAGCTGAAGAAAAAACAAATACATAAATTCAGAGGCAAATAGAGAGCATATACAGCACCATGCCGGCGAACTGTAACATCTGAAGTATACAGGCAGTAACGAATAATATCACACTAGGTTAATGATAGATGTATGACCAACCAATACTGTGCAGCACTAAAACTTGTGAAGTTCGTTTTATCAATATGGAAACAGCAGATACATGCTGATGCAGGATATACTGGTTACAAAGCAGACACATGCAGACAATACTTTGTACTCCCTCCGTCCGGAAATACTTGTCATCAAACTGAATAAAAGGGGATGTATCTAGATGTATTTTAGTTATAGATACATCTCTTTTTATCCATTTTGATGACAAGTATTTTCGGACGAAGGGAGTAACAATTACGAAGCAAATATATTGGCCAGCCTTTGGTTCAGAAAAAACGTTATTTTATCTAGTGATCCAACTGCGAAGGTGACATTGAGTAGAAAATCCATATTTCTGTTATTGCAAAAGGAATACAGTAGTATTAGAAGGTGAGATTGCACACCTGGATTTCAAACTTGATCACGGCAGGTAGCCTCCCATTAGCATCGCCGTTATCCATGATGGTAGAGTCATCAACAAAGCTGTGGTTGGCATCTAACATATCACTGACCTGAGGGAACCCAGGGCACCACCTGCATTTCATGTTGTAGTGTCCATTCTTCTTCCAGCAGACATTTAATTCTTGAAGTGCCTTTAGAACCTCGATCATTATCTCACGAGGTTGAGCTCGAGACTGGTGGATAAGTGATGCATTAGCTTAACAGCTGAATGTGCAAAACAAAGCAAAGTAAAGTGGATAATGTGCAAGACCTGGAGCCCAAGAGCCCATTTTCTTTCAACGGGATAATATGGCCGCAAGCCACTGCCTTGAGAATCATTGCTTGCTGGAAGATACTGCCTGGTACTTGGGCTTGCTGATTCCGATGAAGTAAACTGATTAAAACTCCTACCCTGGAGAACCATCCATTCAGAAAGTTAATAGTGCTTAAACCTTATGAATTAAACAAGTCACAGATGATGCAAATGTGAACTAACCATTGATTGTAGATAGTCAGCCCCCAAATAGCCACTAGTGGCCCGGAACCGATTGTCCAAGAGTAAGTAATATGCAACAGTTGCCTGGAAACATTGTCTAAAGTCAATTATGAAATAACTGAATGGAATGAAGCACTGACTTTTGTTTGCATATACCTCATTTTGCAGCCTATTGCACAATGATTCACACACATGGTCTTTATCATATCCCAGGTTGACAATCTCTTTAAGTGTATCTTCATCAATCTTCAGAAATGAACATAGAGCAAATCAGCATACATTGACGTAGAAATAGCATTTTAAAGCTTGCTAGTAAAATATATTTTTTATAAATAAAAGCGGCATTGCAAGGAGACTTAACGTACTAGGTGCTACCTTTTCATCTCGTTGGGATAGATTACTAGTAGTAAGGAATTACTCCCTTCACTTCATATTATTACATGATGTTTAACTTTCATAATCTTTCCCCTTCTCATAAATCTTTGAGCCACAGCTGCTGGATAGTTTTGTTGTTTGACTAGTTTTTTCCCAAGTAACCAGCAGGAGCAGTGCCTTTCACTTAAGCAGTATAGTTTTTTTTTACAATTATGTACATGGCCAAGAGGACGGCATGTGGACTACTCGCAAATAAAAGGTTAGAAGAGCTATGAAGGTGGATATCTGAGAACGGAGCATCGCTCTGTTGGCAAGGCATGCGGTATCCAGCCAGCCCACCCGCGTCCGAATCTCGACTCAACAGGGTGTCAAGGTTGTTTCTTGTATTAAAAATACCACCAAGGGCTAGTCCTAACTGATCTTGTTTTAGAGAACCGAGCAGTGCTCGGTTGGCTAGAGCACAGGCCCGTGAGCTCGTCCACTAGAGTTCGAGGGGCAGCCTCCGCATGATGCCTCATTTCTACCTAACAAAGTACCGTCAAGGGAGGAAAACTTCCCGCTTTAACCACGTTTATGAAGGTGGATATCCACTTGAAAAGTTGCCTACTCAGACTCTCGGCGTTCTCTTCTTAATACGAAATGACCATGCACTTTGGTGCATGTTTGAGAAAAAAGAATCTTTGAGCCACAACTTGACCATATATTTCTATAATATTGTGTTTGCAAATATTATATGAAGATTATGCCCATAAAAGATAACATTTCATGACAAAAGTATCGATGTTACTTTTCCTATGATCCATCCAAGATCCTGTATATATTAGTCGATAAAGGTTGAGAAGTTTTACTGTGCACATAAGATAGTCACTTGAAATGTGAAATAGATGGGTACCATTTTGGCTTGCTGCGCTGTGTCTGGTGGAGGCACTGCCAGGTAGCGAGGAAGGCGATTCTGAAACCATGGGTGTTCTCGAATTTCACGAATTGTGATTCTCTTCATAGGATCAACAACAAGCATTCTTGGGATCAAATCCCTTGCAAGAGCAGATAAATGACTTGGAAGGATATAGATGCCTCCCTGGAACACCAAACAAGGGGGCATCAAATCTCCAGATAAAAAATGAATGCTAAAGTTCAACTAATCTACATGACCGTTTTTTGATTTTCAGAACAAAAGGTATACACTTGTCAGGTCCAACTTAATCTACATGTGTTCTGTCTCACCTTTATCTTTTTGAACAGTTTGGGAATATTGTCATCATCAAATGGAAGAGTGCCACAAAGAAGAGCATAAAGTATCACCCCACAGCTCCAAACATCAACCTCAGGTCCAGCGTATAATTTACCTGAGATAACCTGCACAGAAACACTCACTAAGCTATTAACGCAAACAATGCGTGTCAGGAAGCACAAGGATAAAGACTCAAGTAAGACAAATTAGTGAATACCTCTGGTGCAGCATAGTTTGGACTCCCGCAGCTAGTCTTCAGAAAATGGCCATCATGCATGACATTACTTAACCCAAAGTCGGCAAGTTTCACATTATATTTGGAATCAAGTAACAGGTTTTCTGGCTTTAGATCACGATGAGCAACCATGTTTCTGTGGCAGTATTCAACACCAGATATAATCTGTGCAAGAAAATTTAAATAAAAAAAGTATTGAGACAAAACCTGAATATGCATCCAGTGATCAGAAAGAATCCTTCAAATTACATATTCGCCTACAGAAGGATATACCATCTCTTTATGTTTTAAAGCACAATTTGATTTAAGTACCGAGACTAAGACAATCAAGGCATAGAGAAGAGGATGCCATTTAAACAAAAAATGATTTAACTAGTGATACTAAGATAACCAAGGCATCAAAAGAACAAGACACCAGAGTGATACTAAAACAATAGACGCATCACGAAGACGTTAACTTTTTTATCAGTTCAACCCAAACGACAAAGCAATCACCTTGGAAAGCTTTCAACTCAATGTAGTACAGGTCATGAGCTAAAAATTAGATGAATGCAAACTGAGCAAATTGATCAGGATTTGCAGAGTCAGCACGTGAGGAATGTGGACACTGGACAATTGCCCAGCATATCCATACATTTCACGATCAAAATAAGAAGCTCAGCAAAGTTCGTATTGTTATGCCCAAAAAATGTGTTCCTACATGCCAAGAGCAGAAAAGGGAACCTGCTGGAAGATTCGACGAGCCTCATCTTCCTGTAACCGCCCTTTCTCAACAATGCAGTCGAATAGCTCACCATACTTGCAATATTCCATCACAACAAATATATCTGTAGGTGTGTAAATGACCTCATAAAGCCGGATGATATGAGGGTGAATGAACAACCTCAATATCTTGATCTCTCTCTTCGCTGGAAACAAGATATGAGAAAACAATAGAAGTAAAGCATTAGACATTCAGCCTGTGAAGAAATTCAAGCTGCAAATTTTACTAATTCACAGCAACAACACAAGGTGAACTTTCTTCTTTACGGAAGCCGGATGTATCCTAGACTAATGTACTTTATCTCTGACTAACTGATTAACTGGGAATGAGGAACACACTCACAAATCTGACCAACACTGGAAGCCAATAACTAGAAATCTTGAGCAAGCAAAGCCGAATGTATCCTAGACTAATGTACAAGGAGGCATACCTTTCTCTTCCATTTCCATAGTTCTCATTTGACGACGGTTCAGAATCTTTATAGCAACTTTGTGCCCTGTATGCTTATGCTCTGCAATCCTCACTTTTCCAAATGTGCCGATACCTAATGTTCTGCCCACATTGTAGTTCTTTAACGCTTCAGAATGCCCGCCTCCTCTAGTGTTCCCTTCCATTTTCACTATGTCAAAAAACAAGAGAAACGATATATGTGATTCAGCAAACAGTTTTATAGTTCAAACATATATGCACATTAGGCTAAAATTGAAACATTTCTAATCAGATTCCCTCTTCTAAGAGACCTTGAGCGTGACATGAGTAGGCTGGCCAAAACTATCACTGTGGACATGAGTGGCGAGGGCAAGTGCGGTTCAAAGGTCAACGAAATGGGTGAAGTTCCCTTCTCATATAGGGACAGACACATATTCAGTCGCTGAAGTGTGGTTCAGTAAGATGAGCAGCAACCAACAATGTCTAGTAGCGAGTAGGATCATAATTTTTTTTCTCGAATACGCACAAACATGCCGTTACATTTTGGATTACAATGCTTTGCACCCCACCTCCACCACCACCCTCACCTATAAAGTGGACTACTCACTCTGGACCCACCTTGTCAATGCCCCAAAGAAGGGGTCCAAATCTCCTTTTTTTTTTGAAAGAGGGTCCAAATCTCCTATTAATAGGCCCGCCTGCCTCCATACTTGACCCTCGGTGATCATCCTACTTATGACATGACATATCGATTTTTTTTTCGAAAAGGGGGTTTACCCCGGCCTCTGCATAATATATTTCCATAAAAAAGCTTGCATCTGCATGCGCAGCACGAACTGAGTAGGGGCTTGTTTGGATTACCGTTCTTCCTTTTAAATACACTTGTAAAGAATACACGTCTCTGCCCGCCGGTTCGCTTCCGTCCAGAAATGGCTCAGCGGCCGGTAAGATACACGAGTAAGTTAAACACCTCCGTATTGAATTACACCGATTCCAAGCACGGCCTAGAGGCCTTTCCTGATATGCATCAGGTCTGGATAGCAAACAATCATCATGTTGGTACTTTGGATGCCCCTGGTGCGAAGAGAGAGACCACACATGGAATCCCAGTGGGTTAACATGCAAAGTTTTCTTAAAATAGGATATGTTGGGTGAACATGCAACTGCGAGAGACATACTACAAGGAATGCAGTCATCCAGCAACTGAGCTGAAAAAACGGCAGAGATCAATAAATGGGAGGTTCTAGTGGGTATAGTACAACATAAATCTGTAGCGGTGCACATTAATAATAGCAGCGCTCTGCGCCGGCGCGCCGGCCCAATTTTTCGGCCGGTCAGCCCAGATCCGTCCGATTTGCACGCGCGCAACCGTCAGATCTCTCCTCCTCCTCCCCCGCATCCCATCTTCAACCTCCCGCACGGAAGAAAGGGAGAGGAAGGACCGAAGGAGGGCGCCGCCCCCGCACACGCTGCCCCCCTCGCCTCGCCTCGCCTCCTCATCTCCTCTCACCGCCGGTTGTCCCTCGTCGCCGACCCCCGCCGTCGGTCGCCGACGAGCTCCGTCATGGTCGGATACCCGCCAAGCTCTTGGCCAAGCGGTTGAAGCTCCCCGCCCCACGGTTGTAGCATCTGATGCGCCACCGCCACCCCGTCCATCCTTGCCGTCGAGCTCGTCGCAGGGTGCACGTTGCAGGCACCGCAGTCGTCTTCTTTCCTAAGTAAGCCAATTCCACATGTCGCCGTTGTAGCAAAACAGCCCGACGTTTGTAGCTTTTTAGAATCCCCGATGTAGCAAAAAAACAAGCGACTCCACTTCGCCCTGTACCACTCCCTTGATGTAGCAAAACAAATCGCAGGTTCTAGCTTCTATAGATGCTGATTCCAGCAATTCTGCTTGCTGGTTGAAACCTTTTTGTGCTGCCCCTTCCAGCAAAAACGATGACGACTACCCAGCTGCTCTCAACTGTCGCAACAAATACCGTGATTGGTTCCAGCAAAAAAAATCGATGGTTCCAGCAAAAAATCAGAAGGGGTGGTAGCAAAAATCAAAGACATTAGTAACAAATTTTTTGAGTGGTTCCAGCAAAAAAATGGATCGAAGCAAAATAGAATCATGCCTCGTTCACAAAAAAAGAGCTCCCGTGCCTGCAGCACATCGATGCGCCGTTCATGGATGTAGCAAAACAAAGCGTTAGTCGTAGCAAAAAAGCACGACGGAGATGCAGCAAAACATTGTCGTCTCCGTGTCATCGCGGGTCGCGACTCCGCTATGTCGCATGTAGCAAATTTTCTCGCCGGTGGTAGCAAAATTAAAATACGGTGGTAGCAAAAAATGCTCTTGTCCAGCAAATCAAAAAAATGATAGTAGCAAAAAATATGTCTGGTTGCAGCAAAAAAAGACACTGGTTCCAGCACAACAGAAAAGGAAGGAGTTGTAGCAAAACGGGGGGCGCGCCCATCGGTGATCTCCTGTTTTTTGGCGGCTGTGGAGGTGCTCGCAGCAACGGGGGGCCTGTAGTTGTTCTGCAGTGAAAAAGCTCACAGAACGTTGTGCGGATTCCATGGCTGATGTGTGAGAGAGAGAAAGACAGAGGGAAGGAGGCGAGTTTGAGGGGACGAAGTGTGCTCAGGAAGAGATAAGGATTGAGAGGTCAAAGCGATGTGCGGGTCCATACTAATAAAACGTGCGCGTGGGGAAGCCGCACGATCCCACTTAATCGGGCGTCGCGCGTGAGACCGGCCGAACGCTTCGGCCGGCGCTCCGGCCCCGAACATTTACCTTAATAATACTCCAATGAAATTAGGCCAACCATGAATCTACTAGTACTACAGTACTGCGCACACAATAATTACACGGAATCGTGTTGGTATCAGTATCAGAATCAGAATCAGAATCAGTGACTCTCCAGTAGTATCTTTTTGCCCTGGCAGTAAATTTGGGGAAAGTGAGATCGGCCGACCGATCAAGCAATAAACCAACCAACCGATCGGTCAATAATCAAGGTTTACCTTCCAGTAGGACGTGAATGTTGGTCCGGGCGGATCTGCGGTAAAGATCTCCGTTGGAGGGGAGAAACGAACAGGAAGAAGACTACTGCTGATTATGAGCCGCGCCCACCCGAAATTGCGACAAGCAGCACAGAAACTAAATTCCCCACTTCAACGGCGCAGCCAAAAGCCCAAAACCGTGGATTCACCTCGCCGTCCTCGCCAAACGGGCAAGCAGCACTCCCCCAGAATCAGAATTAGGAGCACGCGCGAACCACCCCAGCTCCCTACCAAGCCGCCAGGCCGGCGAGCTACTACTACCCAACCAAGCAACGACGGCGCAGAAACAGCAGACCCCGCCGAGAATTGCAGCCGAGAGAGAGCGTAAATCTACGAGATCAGCTAGGCGATTCCCTCACCTGGCCGAATCCCTCGGTCAACCGCTCGAATGGGTGGGGAGGCGACGAGAGCGGCCAGTGGAGGAGGCCTCGAGGGAGAGCAGGAGAGGTTTTGGGGGCGGTTGGTCCTTTTCTTCTCCGGGGGTGGGAGGGAGGGAGGGAGGCTTTAGGCGAGAGCCGCTAGCTTAAGCTTAGTTTAAGGCGAGCCGAGCCAGCGGGGGCGGCGTAACCGGGGAAAGATGAGCATCAGCATCAGCATCGCGCTTGCGTGTCGGCTCCCTCCCGCGCCCGCCGCTTGCTTCTCCTCCCCTGTCGTTTCCCCACGTCAGTTTTTCCTCCCCTCCGCTCTCGTGCTTCGTCGTCGCCTCGCGGAAAGGAAATTGGTTCGTCACCTCACCTCAACGTCCTCCGTCGCATGTAGTAGGATGGATTGATTTGGTGACGAGGCGCTGATGCGGTGCGGCGTTGGAGCCGTGCAACGTTGTTGCGTGGTGCGCGAAGAGGACGTTAGATCGGGTGCGCACGCTAGGCTCTTCTCCCTCGCCCGACTTTGTTTGCTTCGATGATTGTATATTAACCTGTCGCCATCCTGGTAGCACGTGTTTCCTGCTTACTTTCGGGTGCCACCGGCGAGCTATCGGTCTCTATCCTATGCTTAGCGACGGCGACACGGCGTGGCCCTCGCCGGCTTGAGCACGCTCGTTTTCTTATTCGCGCATAGGAGCCGGTCGACCGGCCCAATTTTCCATCGGCCGCCGTGCCAGCGTTGGATCCAGACGCCGTTGACCGTTAAATTTGGAAAGAAAGAAAAGGATAATCCTCTTTCCCTATCTCGATCGCTCGCGCACGACCCCCGCGACCTCCCACCACCTACACTTACAGCACGGTGCGTGCTCGCCGGTGTTGTTGACGGCGCCGCTCGTCAGATGCAACACATGTACCCGCTGGTCCGCCATAGGCAGCAAATTGCGGTGCCATTCCAGCAAATCGAGCCGCCGGTGCAGCTTTCGCCGTGAGCTGTTGATGTGGCCGGTCGTTGTGGTAGCACCCGGTGGCAACGCTCCAGCATGTGATGTCGTGCACGCATCATCCGAGAGACACCATGGTAGCATCCAGTGAACACGGTTCCAGCATTTGGTGGCCGCAGATGTAGCACCTGGAACTCGCCGTGGTAGCATCTGGTGATCACGGTTCCAGCAATCCAGCAAAAAAACTCACAACTTCCTGAATTTTCTACTGACGTCGTCCACTGCACGGATCACAACATCACCATGCTGATTGTAGCACTTGTTGTCACCGGTCGCGACCGTCCACATCCATGGTTGTAGCAGTCGCCAGCAGTGGATGTCGTTGCCGCGCACTGAACGTAGCACGACTGCATGCCGGTTGTAGCGCCTCCGCGCGTCAGGCCCAGCTCCGCACATATGTGGTTGCAGCACCGTTGTTCCCTGGCTCCAACGGAGCCGATTCCAGCACATGTGCCTGTTGGTTCCAACACGACCGGTCGTCGGTTGTAGAACCGCGACACCGGTGGCAGCACACAACATCCACCATCGTGCGACGAGGCCGTGGTTGCAGCCACAAATGAGCGGCTAACACCGGCTCGCCGGCCTCGACGAGGAGGAGATTGGGGTGAGCACGCTTGAAATTTCGTGAGGGGTGGCCCAAGGAGGTGCTGTAACACACGGAGAAAGGGGCCGCAACTCGTCAGCGTGAGAACGATGAAGGGGGGGTTGAGATCCATCGGAGTTCATCTTCTTTGTAGAAAAGAGAGAGGGAGAGAGGTGTGAGGGAGATGAGCAGCGAGAGGGACAAGCAAAGGAGATAAGGTTAGCCAGCGGTGTGTGGGGCCACCAAGTAGTGGACGTTGCGTGACGCGACCAACCCAACATTGGGCCAGCCTCCGGGAGGGAAATGTTCCTCTTTCTTATCTACCGTTGAACCAGCTAATAGGTAATTTTCGATGGTGCTGGCAAAGATGAGGTTCGAAAGAGTTGTTAAACAAGTACACAATTTTCCCTTAAAAAAACAGACTTTCATCTTTATAATGGCGGGGAAGAAGAAGAGACCTATCGTCGTTGTAAATGCAATGTTTCTATTTTCATTCTAATGCTTTAGGAGTTAAATTCTAAGTGGGAGCAAGTCCTACGTTAGCCGGCAAAGCCTGCTCCTCAAATTATAATTTCCATTTTTAACACTTGAAAGAAATACCACGACTTAAAAGAAGAGGAGACTTATCTTCACTAACTGCAATGTATCTATTTTTTATTTTACAAGTTAAAGTGTAAATAGAATCGGGACTTCCGCTAGACCGCAAAGCCCGCTCCTAAGATGTAGTTGTTGTTTGTAGTACACAACGTGTTATGACTTGGAATAAGAAGATGACCATCCTCATGGTAATTGTATTGTTTCTATTTTGATACTTCAGGATTAAAAGTGTAGGTGGGTGCGGGTCTTTCGCTAGCCCGCAAAACCTGCTCCCTAAACTATATAGTTGCCATTTGAATTACCTAAAATTAAAGAACCATAAAGTGTTATGGTTGAGAAGAAGAGACATTTCATCTCAGTAACAATAGTGTTTTTATTTACATACTTTATGAGTAAAAGTGCGAATGGGACTTCTGCTAATCCACAAAGCCCGCTCCCCATAACGGAGACATTATTTGTGTTGCATTAAAGAAGTAACACGTTTTAGACAATGAGACATCTTCATGCTAGCTGAAATGTTTCTATTTTTGTACTTTAGAAGTCAGAGTGTAAGTGAGTGTGAGTCCTCCACTAGTTCACAAACTAGATATTTCATGATTGAAAAAAGAAGAGACTTGTCTTCACAGTAAATGTAATTTCCTATTTGTGTACATTAGGAGTTATAGTGTAAGTGTGCGTGGGTCTTGCACTAGTAAGCAAAATATGCTCCTTTTTAATGTAGTTACCGTGTGTATTGCACTAAAGAAGTATATGTTTCGGGGTGGAGAGGAAGAGACTTGCCTTCACAGTAAATGTGTTGTTTCCATTTTATTACTTTAGGAGTGAGAGTGTAAGTGTGTGTGGGGATTTCCCTAGTTCGAAAACCTGCTCATTGGAATGTAGTTACTATCTGTATTGCACTACATAAGTATATGTTTCAGGGTTGAGAGGAAGAAGAGACTTATCTTCACAGTAAATGTGAGGTTTCCATTTTTGTACTTTAGAAGTCAAAAAGGTAACTCGGTGCGGGTCTTTCTTTAGTTCGCAGAGCCCACCCTCATAATGTAGTTGTTGTTTGTATTGCACTACAAAAGTACATGTTTCATGATTGAGAAGAAGCGACTTGTCATCATGGTAAATGTAGTGTTTCTATAGCCCTAATAAGACAGTATGAGAAAAATAATAATTACTTTGATGGTCAACGGGCTGTTAGGTTCAATGATATATATTGAGAACCTTGATTTGATAGAGATAGCTCTTCATTTTGATAGTTCGAATGGGCTAATAATTTAGAAACTCCAACTTACGATAATTGGATCGTGTTTTGGTGACTGTTGAATGGGAGCAGAAATGTCCTTTGGTGATGGTGTGTGCACTTCACAGTAGTATCTCTAACCATAGACCACTCCTTCGAGACTCCACTAAGCTTGCTCATCTAGAGAACAAGGTCACCTTTTCTTTTGAAATGTCTTGGTTCGAAAGGGAAAGTTTTCTCCATATGGTGACTCAAGAGTGTTTTAATGAAAATCGAGGAGATGTTGGAACTGAGAAGTCACAATTCAAAAACATCATCTTAGAAAATTACTTAGGGCTTGGGCTAAGAATTTGAGTTGTGTGTATAAGAAACACAAAGACTAACTACTTGCATTAGTTAACATGTTAGATATTAAAGTAGAA